CATATGGGAAGCTTCAGGGAGTGGGAACTTTCCCACTTCAGGGAGTGGGAACTCCCAGCAAATCTGGGAAAAGATGTGCCTGGTTGTTATTTTATGCCCCAGCCTTTCAGCATTCCTCTAAGACAGTGCTGAGAAGTTGTTTCCTGACTCTGAGGCCCCGAGTTCACCTCAAGTCCCTCATGATTGCTTTGTAGAGTGCATGGATGTTGTTCCTTGGCCTCTCAGGCTGCAGGACCACTGTGAAATATTTTCCTTGAGCTGTTAACCATTTTGTGTTCAAAAGAAATAACCTGGTTTAGCACCAGAGGAGCAATGCAGAGAAATAATTCCTGTTGGTCTCAGCTGCCCACATCACAGGGAGTGGAGGAGTTTGCCACAAGCTCTGGTGTTTATTCAGGGAAGCAGTGCTGGTGTCACTGGGCACAGCAGGAATTCTGAGCTGGGGACAGGATTATGTGAAGTTGCACAAGAATTTATTTTGTGTTTATTTAATCCAGCTTTATTGTGACTCCAGGAGTGTTTATATTTTAACAAGAGTGACATTACTCAGGTGAAAAGGCAGAGCTTGCTTACATTTGTAGTATTCCTTACAGGATTTACCTGTTCTATTTCCATCATAATTTTAGATCCATGCTGTTGCAAAGGAAGGAGATGAGGGCCTGCAGTTGGTCTCTGTAGCTCCTCTAAAGGGAGACTTTAACATTAAAGTTCTTATAAATACTGGAAAATAGAGGGGAAAATTTACAGAACAAAACACAAAATTTACAGAACAAAACACAAAATTTACAGAACAAAACAGTAGCAATCCAGAGAGAGAAAGGTGCCCTTTTGTTTTAAGAAAATAAATAGTAAATGTCAGGCAACAGAAATGTTAAATTTTATGTTTTGTGCAAGAGCTGTCTGCTCAGTGTTCATACTGATTGATGCTGTAATTTTATTTAAATTCATGGCTAAGTGCAGTCACTGCCTTGCAAGAAATCCAAGAGATTTCTCACTGTTCATTTCTTTGCAGATGGAATCAGTCCCAAATCCCCCCCTGCCCTGTTCAGCCTCCCCTATCGATTGGTGTTTGCTGTTGCCTCAGAGGATTCTGTGCTCTTCTATGACACTGAGCAGTCCTTCCCCTTTGGTTATGTCTCCAACATCCACTACCACACCCTGAGTGACATTTCATGGTAAGGAATTGTATTCCTGAGGTTTCTTGTGATGGGAAATGTCCTTTTTCTGTCTCCACTGTGAGTCCTGCCTTGGGTTTGTATTTCATTTCTGCCACACACGTGGTCACTCAGTGTCTGAGCAGCAATCCATCCCTGTTTGCTCTGTCAATTAGACAATTATGGCTTTTAATCAAGTAAAAGCTTGGCCTTTAATGGAAATAAATCAATCCCAACCAGGTCCAGTGATGGATCCTTCCTGGCCATTTCCTCCACGGACGGGTACTGCTCCTTCGTCACCTTCGAGGAGGATGAGCTGGGAGTGCCCCTGAAGGAGAAGCCCCAGATCCCTGTCAGGACTCCTGCAGGAACAGCAGCAGACAAGAAAGCCAAGAAAAGCCAATCCCACAAAGTGATTTCCCCAGGTTCCAGGCTGCCAGAGGGGACCCCTCCCAGCAAGGATCCCCCAGTGCAACCCCGGACCCCCAGCACTGCTGGGATGGAGCTGCCTTCAACCCCTGTGGGCATCAAAGCCACCTCAGTGCCATCCCCTGTGGGCATCAGAGCCACCCCAGTGCCATCCCCTGTGGGCATCAAAGCCACCCCAGTGCCATCCCCTGCCACCCCTGTGGGCATCAAAGCCACCCCAGTGCCATCCCCTGGCACCCCTGTGGGCATCAAAGCCATTCCAGTGCCATCCCCTTCAACCCCTGTGGGCATCAAAGCCATTCCAGTGCCATCCCCTTCAACCCCTGTGGGCATCAAAACCACCCCAGTGCCATCCCCTGGCACCCCTGTGGGCATCAAAGCCATTCCAGTGCCATCCCCAGAGGAGAGGAGGAGCAGCCAGGGCAGCAGAGCCCCCCAGCCCAGGAGGGTTGCCCTCACCACTCTGCAGTCCTGTTTCAAAACACCCAGGTGAGATTTTTTGGATTTCTATTCCCACCTTCCACTTGGAAATAAAAGGGCCAAGCCAATTTGTGCTTGTGCTGCATGGAAAGGCCGAGCTCTGCACACAAACCCCCAGCCCTGGCTGGGAGTGGGAGCTCTCTTGATGTGGAGGTTTTTTTTTTGTTGTGCTGCAAATGAGAGGTCAAAATATCTCCTAAATGTGCTTGAAATGTGAGGCAGCAAATTCACCTGAGCCTGGACAACCAGAGGTGTCTGTCCTGGCCAGGAGTTGGGCTTGGATCCTCTTGGGTCTGTTCCAGCTCAGGATATTCTGTGATTCTGTTTTCAGGTCCAGTTTTGTGCACAAAAATGGTGCCTGAAACCTTCAGCTGCCAGGAGCTGTTTAAACACCCTTCTAGCCAGGCCCTTGGTGTGGAACTTGAAATATTGATCAGATAGAATGAAATATAAAATATATTATAGAATGAAATCTATGAAATAGAGATTAGACTTCCTAAAAGATCTCATTTTTTGGAAATTGCCAATAATATTGATTGTACTGGGGGTGTGAGCAGCCTGCTCCAGTGGAAGGTGGCCCTGCCCATGGGAGGGAGTTGGAAGTGGATAATGCCCCATTCAACTTGGAAAAAGAAGGGAAAATGTGCAGTAAAATACATCAGAATTACCTTTGCAGTTAAATGATTCTATATTAATTAAATCTTGAAGTGGAATACTCATGGAAATGAGGTCTATAAAGCAACTTTAATCTTTCTGCTCTTTTAAAGGAGAATAAACTTGATTTCCTTGAAGCCAGACACCCCAACCTCTGCACATCCAGAGCCAGCCCCCATCCCCATCCCTCCTTCCTCAGAGCAGGACCATGGTGAGTTTTTGTGGCTCTAAACACCAGCCCAGACAGATTTTTCCATTATAGATTTATATTGTAAAAAATTCCTCACTCTGATTGCAAATCCTAAAGCTTCTTCACTGTTCTGATGTGTGCTTGGAGAGATTGAGATGGATTTGAGGGGTGCTTTGGGCAGTATGAAATGTGTTCTCCCTGCTCAGGGCAGCTGATGGTGACTCCCTACAGTGTCATAGCAATGAAAACAAGGATGAATTCATGATGTTCTCCAGCTTTTAAAGACTTCTGTACTTCAACTTATCCTTGTTGCAGGTGCTGGGCACTCTCAGAGCAGGATTGGGTTTTTTTTTTTAATTTGAATTTATTCATTTGAAATGATTTTCCTGTCTGATTCTTGCAGAGAAGCCATTGCCATCTGATGAGAGCCTGCAAGCTCCCCCAGCCCCAAAACGTGCCAGGACTGAGGATTTGCCCCTTCCTGCTCCTGCTGGAGACCAAACCAGCTGTGAGCCCAACAAATAAAGGCTGAGCACACCCT